ATACAACATGGCATCCGTTCCCTGGTCTGCCAACAGATAAGTGGAATGATAGTTGACTCTTGCTTCAGAACTGATTGTGGGGCAACAGGATCATTAAGGTGGCCAAAGGATCATACAAAGGCCAAGAACAGCCCTTGTCCTGAAAAACAAAGTTGTGCACTTTTGTTCCAAAGATCTTTCTGGACATCAGCTTTGTGATCAAGAAGGCTCTTCTCCAGACCTTCATATGCAGGTCTCTGCTCTAAGTGAGAAAAAGGACAGAAGAAGAACATTTGGTTTATGCCAAGTCAGGCCACTGGTCCTTCTAGCTCGCTATTGTCTCCTGTGAGTTGAGCTGGGCGTAATCCTAAACCATGTTTTAGCAAGAATGAGAATGAACCTTAGGAGAGAATGAATCTTAGGAGACTTCAGATCCACATGTTTCTTCATATGGTCAGGGGTAAGAATTTAGAAGTTTTCATTTCCGATTTGGGTTATCCCCAGCCAACAACTGTTAATTCTAAAACAGTTTCTGCAACAAGAGAACTTCATACCATACTTTGAAGAAGCTGCCTTGTTTCAAAAAACTTGACATATCTATAAGATTAATCATGGCTTAATGTTACAGTTAAACTCTAGACTGAAGTTCAAATGCAATCAATCCACCTTTCACTAAACCATAGTTTGCTTAATAAATCACAGTGGGTGGGTCTACACAACATGCTAAATCAAAATCAAACAAGGTTCATTACAGGTTAGAGATGTAACAGTGGTCAAGCGTAATTTTCCATGGAATTCCTCCTGTTGACTGACAGTTTTTCTCCAAGGTTTCCTGTGCTAGACTTTCCCATGCCTGTCTGGAGGTCTTGGAACCAAACATGAGACTTTCTATGGCAAAGCATGTGTTCTACCACTGAGCCCCAACCTAAATCTGTTCTCAGCATGTATTCAAGCTAGAGTGATTACCAATTTCTCAAATCTTACAGGATATTATTGAACAGCTGCAATACTCCTAAGGATTCCATCTTTGCACTTTTTTGTAACTGTAACATTTCCATTTTAATGATACCAGAGCAAAAATTAAAAATTACATTTCAATTATTGGAGAAGAGTTCCTTCCCTCATTCATGGGAGGAAAAGGCCTGGCTTACCTGGATTAGAATGCATGAACAGGTATTGGAAAAATGGATGTGCAATCATTATGTGTTCAGATGAAAGGAGGGGCCTGGAATAAAAGAGAGGGGGAGAGAGAGAAACAGATTACACTACACTTTTGTTCAGATTTAGCAGGTTGTAGACCAAACCACCAATTTCACTCATTACTTTCTTCTCTCCTCCCCAATGTTTGCATAATCCTCATCATTCAGGCAATTACCCAGAGAAAAAAACCCAAGCAGAATCATGATTCAGAGTTGACATAAATTCTGGCTTTGTGAGCAGAGCTCCAGAATGAAAAAAAACTATATACCTATTTTTTAATATTATTCACAGATTTCTGTTGTTGATCTGCTGCAGTGGTACTTAAGATGGCTTACTAGCAGAAAATGAAACAAACAACTAATTCCAAGAAAAAATAGACAATGCAGGTCAAATGAAGCCACAGTATGCTGCCAGAACAAACTAATTCACCATTGACCCAGAGAAGTGAATCTGTTTTCATTTGTTTTTCAAATTAAAAAAAAAAAGGCTTCAAGCATAATTCTGTAGCAGAAGAGTATTTCACAAAGGAGACTTTCTGCATCATTACCTGCGTAGGTACTGGCCAGCATACTTAAATAAAATACAATCTCTGACAAAAATCTTGAGAATTGAGGAGGTTAATGCAGAAGGAGGTAATTCTAGAGTGATTCTTCTGGAAGATAAGAATATGAAAGATGAGAATATAACGCAGAAGCCCAAGTATCTTGTTATCTCATATATTTGTCTTTATACTCTTGGGAATTACTGATAGCCCCAGACGTCTCTTACATCCAAGGAATTTGCTAGATCGTGCTGCTTACTGATTAATCCCTCCTTTTCTGAAAGTGTCATTGGCTTCCCTCATGCCTGGCATTCAGACAACTTGGCCTTTGGAGGCTCGTGACACTTAGATTTATTTGTGGAACCTCCCCCCCCCCCAATAAATCAGAGTTTTAAAATGGGAGAAATCTCACAAGGTCACCAAATGCGGTGAGCTTTTGATGTTCTTGCGTGGGATCTCAGGAGATTTCAGGAGAGAAAGTCGCCATCACACAAGATGTTAATGTCTCCTCTGAGATTTCAGCATTTGCACGTGAGAAATGTAGGAGCAAAACTGTGACCTTGGGTGCTTTCTGCCTCCTGGAATATGGTGTCAACATTCACACTCAAGACTGCAAGCAACTATAACAACGGGGAGAGAGTCTCTGCACGTTCCAAGGGTTTACCACCCTTCCCTGCATTGTCAAAAGGACAATCCTTCTACTGTACTGTACTGGAAAGGCTAAAATAAACATTCGTGTCCTTATTTTATGTGGGTTTTAAAAAATATTAAGCCCTCCTGAAATAAGTACCAAATGTAAGTGCATAAAATTGGAAAGCATTTCTAAGGAGCCATAATTATTAAGGCGATGAGGCTGATGGGGCCAGGGTTTCTTCTAAAGAAATTTTATTACCATTTGCTCCACCTTGACTTATCAAGATTGCTTATTTAACAACCCATGTATGAGCTGTTTATTCTGTCTGCAGCATACTTTACCTAGAGGCAAGGACCTATTAATGCTGCTGTCCACCCCACCCCCACCCCTTACTTCTCCTGAACTCCACGGAGGCAGAGGAGAAAGATACTTGGCATTTTATGCCTGCAAGTGAGACGAGTGTGTCAAGTCCACAGGAGTTCTGTGTATTGGCGGTTGAAAAGCAAGAGAAAATACTTCTGTGCTTATTCCTGCTCATAAATAACCCTGTAACTATGAGCTCTTTAGATTGATGAGCCCTTTTCTCTAAAGCTCTTCCCATTCTAAACATGAATATTCATATAGTGTATAGATAACAGCTGAGGCTGGTGGGGTGGGAACCCTTGGTTCTCAGGCTAGAGAGAACTGTAATGTAAATGTAACACAGTTGCCCCCCAAGAACATCAAGTGATCCATCAAGTATCCACTGATTTGGAAGGGCAGGAGGAGGAATCCTAGAGTTTAAACACTGGAATGTTGATATGTACTTCTCTGACATATTTTGACTTCGGTAAACAATCAGCGGTTGTGTTTAAGATACTTGATGCTTGTCTGCAGATTCTAACTTAGCCAAGCTGGGTCTGAGAGTCTTCTGCCAAGTCAAGACAAATGCTAAATAATGGATTCAATGTCTGGAGAGCTGTGATATATTGTGGAATCCTGGTGTGAAGCTTGTCAGAATGAGATTGCAGGCGTTCATAGACTCATAGAATTGTGGACTTAGAAGGGACCCCAAGATCATTTAGTCTGATCTTCTGCAATGCATAGGAAAACCAATTAAAGCAGCTTCTTCTTAAAAAAAAACCCCTCTAAAGATAAGAGAACCCACAATTTATGTAGATAGACTGTTCCACTGTTGTGCAGATCTTACTGTTAGAAGGGTTTTCCTTATATGCAAATGAAATCTAGGTAGCTGCAACTTAAATCCATTATTTTTGGTCCATTCATTCTGATAAACATCAGAACTGGTTTTCTATAAAAGTCAAATGTGTTTCCTACAGTATTTTCCAGGCTCTCATCTGTCTATCTGCCTGCCTGTCTGTGTGATGTTAGATTTGACTCCTGGTGACTACATAGACAAATCTGGAGTTTTCTAGGCAACATTTTTAGAAGTTTTTTGCCATTGCATTCTTCCTAGGGTTGAGAGAGGGTGATTAACCCAAAGTTACTTATTGGTTTCAGTGCCTAAGGCAGGGCTAGAACTCACCTTGCCCCACACCTAGTCCAATGCCTTAACCACTAGACCAAACTGGCTCCCTATATATAATATATATTATCATTATATAGTGTAACATATAATGTAATATATAATTACAGTGACTCTATGCCCTTTATTATAATGGACAGTCCTTTATTTCAATAAGCTGTCCTTTAGATTTATTTAATTTAATTTTTTATTTTCTTGCTTTTGCACTTGAATTTTCCTTTGTAAAGCAAAGTTACAAACATAAACATTTTTTTTAATCCTTATGAACCTCTTTCAGATTTGCGTCCTTTTCAGGTTTGTCCTTTATTTTTTCCAAGAAAATATGGTCACTGTATATATATAATGCCTGATTAGCAATGTACAGATCAGATCCAGTTGGAATAGTTGATTCTCTTTGAATTGTCAAACCAATCTGAATTCAATTGTCAGTTCACTTTCAAAATTCAAATCTCCAAGTCAAATTGTTCCAATTTGAAAAGTCAGTTCAGTTTGGAAAGAACCTTTTTGTGCTAATGCAAAAAGCCATGAGATAACTGGGAGGCAACCAGGTGCGCCTTTTACATACAGACTGTTGGTATTATGGATGTAATGAATCCCCTGCAGATAGTACTTGGAAATGCAAAACTATGTAATTACTGTATAGTTTATACTACTGTATCGAGTTCATGTAATTATTCCACCATGTATCTTGCATAATAAATATATTGTTACTAGGAAGGAGTTGGTTCCTAATAACAGTAGAAATTACAGTTATGAAGAGGCTAACATTTGATCTTCATAATCAATGTTCAGAATCAGGTGCTTCTATATATCAACATCAACAATTCATATTTTTTTCAACTGTTGTGGAGTACAAGGGTAAGGGGAAACTTGCTCAAAATTCTCAACAAATTTTGTAAAAGAGGGGTATGGGCCATTCCATTCTAGAATGTTGTTCTCTTTGCGATCTAATGACAAAGCTAAGGGCAATCATTGTTGTTCTTTGCTTTGCAATGAAAACAATTACCATGTGCTTTGCTTTTAAGTAAGCATAATTGCAACGTCTTGTTTTTTCCAGTCTGTTGGAATCATTCCTCCTGGACATCCCTCCATGGTAATTACTTTGTTCTTCTGTTTCCTAGTCTGTTCACAGTTCTCCAGGGGAGTCTATGCCATCTTTGGATTCTATGACCAGATGTCAATGAACACACTGACGTCTTTTTGTGGGGCACTGCATACATCATTCATCACGCCCAGCTTTCCAACTGATGCTGAGGTGCAGTTTGTCATCCAGATGCGTCCAGCTCTGAAAGGAGCCATCTTAAGCCTTCTGACATATTATAACTGGGAAAAATTTGTATACCTCTATGACACTGAACGAGGTAAGAATACACTTTTTCCAGGTGATTTCCTTCCTCCTGCCTCTTATGCAGACATATTTCGATAATAAGGATCTTGCTAAGTTAGACCTCAGCAACTGACAACCACTGACAATCAGATCTGGAGGTGTCATCTACTCCCTCCAATTGTTGTAAATGCATCAAAGGGTTCTGGCACGAAAGGTGAATTTGAGGACCTCCAAATAATGTTGACTTACACTTCCCAGCACACTCCACTATTCACCATGCTATCATAATTGTTATCTATATTTCTTTCCTCCAGGAGCTTGGCAACTTCTGTGGGCTCATCTTATTCCCATAAAAGTCCTGTAAGATAAATTGGGATGAAAGAGTATGACTGTTCTAAAGTTCCCCATTGAGTTTCCATGGCAGAGGGTGGACTTGAAGATGGGTCTTGCCAATCCCTGTCTGAAATTTTAACCCAAGTGCTGGCTCTGTGCTAGATCGAGTTGCTACCAATAGTAATACAGCAACATTTTGAGGAGCATGAGCTCTGTACTGCTCAATTATGGAATACATTCCATTCACATGGCAGCTCCTTGAGAGACTAAAGAGGAACCTGGTTGTTGATGAAGGAGATAAGTCAAGCAGTCAAGCATCTGCCAATCTGGTGATGTAAATAATACTCTAAAAAGCACTGTGTCTTGGGATTCTATTGTTGCTTTGTCTTATATCTTTTTTTAAAAAAATTGTTTTATTATTTGTCTTATAAACCTGGCAGGATGAGTTTGGTGTCAAATGTCAGTAACATGCCATCCCATTAACACTCAGCAATAACATGGCAGAGAACTTTGAAGCCTATCTTTTTAAGTTGTGTGATCATCGAACTTTCCAAGCATTCTTTTGGTTTTCCATAAAGTAAGCCTCACCCTTATTTAGAATGACTAAGTTGAACTTAATCATTCTGGGAAAAGTGGCAAGGGTGTGAAAGTTCGGAGATCTGGGGTTCTTTTTTCTAAGTTGAAGTTAGGGAGAAAGAGGCATTGCTCTTCTGCAGAACATACCCTAAAAAAAGGTCCTTGAATTTCAACTAATGTTTTAGAACCATAGGCCAAGAAGTAGTGGGACCAGGACAAAAAGGAAATTGGGTGTAACTTAACCTGCATCTGCATTTAATTAAGCTAAAGTTGATAAGATTGATCTGTCGTTTATTCCCCTTTTCTGCAGGAGTATGAGGCAAAATCTCATTTGAATTGTTGATTTGGTTTAGAAATGAATTTGCTTTGATTTGAAAATCAGTTTAATTTGATTTGGAAGTTCAAACCAAATTCTTGAATCGATCTGATTCAGCTTTCTGGATTGGTGTGTAAGAAGCCATTTTTGTTCCTCCAGACCACCACGCAAATCAATATGAAGACAGTCAACCATTTGAATCGACTGTCTGATTTGGTTTGGAATGCCAATTTGATTTATCAGTTTGATTGAATTGCTTTGGAATTGAATTTCCAGATCAAACGTCTGCAGCACTCCTACTATGAATATACAATTTCTGGTTGCAGTCTTTAGGGGTTTCTGACGAATCTAAGACTTTTGAGGCTGTTACGATGCCTTCGTGCCTTAAGCTGCACCCCTCAGCCCCAGATCTTTTCTTCTGGAGGGTTGCAATAAACTTTGTCAGCATCTTAAACAACTGGCGATTTGGGGCAGTCTATCCTAATGTATTGTAATGAGTGTTCAATCAGTTTTCCAGAGCCTCTCCAGTCATAGTAGTGAATGATTATTTGAATTAGACAGTGGAATAAAAGATCGCACATATGTTGCTGCCAAGATGCCATTGAAAGGAAAAGGGAGGGGGAAGATCCTGGAACTGTCATACTTTTTAATAATTTGCACTGTCAATTTTTTGCTGCTTCAGGGCACAAGCACTACTGGAAGACAATACAGAACAATTTTCTGTCAGTTCTGGAAATACATTATCATTTAAATATCTCCTCTCTCTCTCCACATGTGTAAACATTATTAGCTTACTAGGGTGTTGTTAAAATTGGACAATCGGTGAGAAATTGCAGGGATCCCAGCTTAAATATTGAGTTACCGGGGAAATTACGTTTGCAAGCGTTTTCATTGCAAGCAGTTGTGCTAGCAGCTGCCAGAGAGGAGGGAAGCCTGAAGCTCAGTCTTAGAATAAGGTGTCACAGAAGGTCTGCAGATTGGAACGATCCCTATTTCAGATGATTGGGAGGATGGTAAATTGTTTGCTGGCTGGAGAGGGACTTATAGCACAATGGCATTATAATTTATTTCCTATCTTTGTGTCACATTTTAAGGTGGCTAAGGAACATGCCTCAGAAAGGTTGTCTTGTCTTGATTTTATATTGGCTTGGGCTACCATGGTTGGGGGTTTGAAGTTAGACTGTGTCCTGGAAGACATTGTTTTACTTTCCTCCAGCTACATGAATGCCATTTATCTTTTCTTATGAACTGAGGGGGTTAGAACATTGCAGTTCAAAAAAAGGCCTGTGTTACAGGCTGATTGGACTTTGAAGAAACAGGCTAGGAAGAGTAGTGATACTTTTGAACTTTGGTGTTGGAGGAGACTCCTGAGAATATCATGGACAGGCAAGAAAACAAGCAAATGGATCACTGAACAAATCAACCCAGAGTTATCACTAGAGGCACAGATGACCAGGCTCAAATTATCCTACTGTAGCCACATTATATGAAGATCTAGCTCTCTGGAAAAAGATCTAATGGTGGGAAAGGTGGGAGGAAAGAGAAGAAGAGGATGACCAGCAGCAAGGTGGATGGACTCAGTTACAGTGGAAATGGATACATCTTTGGAAGATGTGAAGGACCCAGTTAGGGTCAGATCATCATGGAGGAAATCTGTCTGTGTGGTCACTAACAGTCAAACTGACTTAACAGCACATAATCAATAAAAAAAAACCTAGGCTAATGGCCCATAAAACCCAGTATTCAGTATACTGAGACAGTAGAGTTGCTCTGGGCTTGCTCCTTAGAAACTGGAATTCAGTTTATGGCTTAGTCTTCTATCTGAACCATGGCCATTATAGTTGGCTGCTCATGATAAGCCATGATAAATCAGCCATGGCTTATTATAGTCTGTAAACCCAGCTTAAATATCAGGTAAGTAGCAGAGTTTGATTGAGGTGACCAAGAAGGCTTTGGGTGAAGTGAGGATCAAAGAGAAAACCTGGTGGCAGAATTAAAGCAACAAACCAGAGTTCAAGAGTGAAGAACAAGTTGAGTGTCCCAAGCCTAGAACAGAGTGCTCAGCCTGGTACAGAAAGATCTCCTTGTATTCCTGCACAATCAGTGAGGAATCCAGCTATGAAAACTGCCATGAAACAAGAGGTGAAAAACCTCCAGATCTTCCTCTGAATTGACCAGGAGAGCAAACAGAATAGTAGGGAGTATCCAGTAGAAGAGAATATCTGAGGCTCAGAGTTGAACTGTGGGGTTCTTGGTGCTTTCTGATGATGTTGGGTTGGGTAGTTGGGTAATGAAGTGTCTGGAAGCAGACAACCAAGCTCAGACAGCACCAAGAACTCCACAGTTGGGAGTATAAAGGAGAAGGTGTGCTAGATGCAAACAGTCCCGGGCATAGGAAGCCAAGCCTGGTGCTTGCAAAAATCTGGCCACTTGAGAATCTGAGCCACATGCTGTTGATAAGCAAGCTCCCATTTTAATAGATTCTCATTTAAATTTTAATGAGAGCATAAATATGCATGCTTGAGCTCCTCTTTGCATGTTTAATTTTCATAGAGTGTATAGATCTGTAAATAATTTAAGTAAAAGATACTTTGTTCACTGTGCAAGTTGGATTATAGCTCAGGTCTGCTGTTAAGGACAAACTCTTGTGCATCCAAGATGAGATGAAGTAATTAATGCTTCCATCCCCATTCCCTGGTTGTTCTGGTGGTTTCATAGAATCAGAGTTGGGTCAGGGTTAGGATCTTATTGACATCAACCTGTTAGCTTTGTCTTGGAGATCCAGAATTAGAGGACTAATTTTTTGTACTGATGTCATCTGAAGTTTTGTTTTTCTCTTTTGGCAGAAATGACTTAAGGATCCAGGGTTGTTTCAGCCCCTTTCCTAAAATTCCTCGGAAAGTTTCCACTGCATTGTTATTTTATTGCAGTGAAAGAGGAAAATGTGTCACCCCTTCAAGGTAGATCAGGTCAGAAGAAGCTATCACAAGAAACACTAGAACTCTCCTTTTTTGATACCAGCTATATCTTGAAAGCTGACAGCATTCCTCTATCTCTCCCTCTTATACCCAAGATTAAGCTGATGTTTTTAATCTCTGTACTTCTCTACCAAATGATTAAATAGCTGGGAAATCATTTTATTGGGAAACCTATCATTCTAGGAATAGAAATTTCTGGAGAACTCTGGAAGGTATTCCTTTGGACTATACCAATCCAGCTGTGACAGGGGTGGTCTGGCAGTCTCCACTATTCTAAGCCACTCACCAATTACCCTACCCATAGGAATGCACTGGGGGGATTTTTCCATTTTTTTTTCTCCACAGCCCCCTCCTGCCCATCTGATCTTGCTCATTTTGGAACTTGATTATACTTTTGCCAGCTTCTCCTCCCACATCAAATTTGGTCCTGTTCTTTTCAACTCTTAGAAAATTATCCTACTGATGGATGGATAGGTGGACGCCATCCCCATTCCCTTTCCATAATTCCTTTCCAACATTCCATTGGTTTGGAAAGAATTTAAAAAAAAAAGACAGTGTATGTACTTGGGTGAATAGGGCAACTACAAGGGAAACCTGAAAAATCTAAATTTAGGAGGAGGAGGAAGAGGAGGGTTATTTCCAAATGGACTGATCAGTGAACGTGAATGTTCTAGTTGGTTTTCTCATTCAGAGTCTGGTGCTGGTGTGATAGCTCTGCATCTTTCATAGCTTGTCCCAAATTCCCATACATAATGACAATATAATAGACTGAGGTACTCATGAAACCCCTTCTGAGTTCATCCTATTCTTTGCTCATTAAAATAAATAAAT